CCACTGTCCTAATTTGTATTTTAAGTGATGCTTCAGAGACTGGACTCGTGTCTCCAAAACTTTGTTTCAGATAATTGCTAGTACAGTGGATAATGTCCAGAAAATTTGTCATTGTTTAGTGCTGAGGTCAAGAAAATTGGAGCTTACATAACTGAGCACAGGGGCAACCTTACCTTATTAATATACCATTATCACAAACTTTGTCACCACTTTATATAAGAATTTTAATGATCTTTTGCATGTAATTTTTTTAGTTGTTTCACTGCCACCAAGATGCCATGGATACTGTTATTGTGGTAGTGGGTTACTGAATGAAGCACTCTAAGATGCAACCCAAAGCAAACCACTACCATCTTTGAAGAGAAACAAAAATTACATACCTAGAAGATGGAATAGTTCCATAAGCCAGTCCTCAATCCATCTACTTATTATGAAATTGTTCCACGAGCCAAAGCTAGTTGGTTAAATTATTTTGAAGTATATGTTCCCTTTGATTTCACCATGCTGCTTGATACTGATGTATTACATTTCATGAGGATTTGCTATTACATGGCTTGTCAGTAGAGGCATGATACATAACAAAGGTCTGTGTAACACTGAGTTTGGGTATTGTACACAGCCCTGACATTATGAACGTGAATAAGTACAGTGCAGAATATTGAGTGATTCTTTACAAATATTAAGTGCCTTACATTGTGTGTTGTGAACTAGTCTTCATGGGGTGGCACTCGCTCAAAGTTTATGGCTACTATTTGTAAGCTTTTGTAAAATACATCCATATTTAAAAATTTCTTGAATTTGTTTGTAATCTAACACCAGCCTATTTCTAATGGGATGGTCTTATAAAATATCCTTTCAATATACATTGTAACAGAGATGGAGGACAGAGAATGCTATACTTTTGCAAACTTGTGAATGCATATAATGTTGACAGAGGTTACAGATTAATTGCTTTTGCTGAGTATGTTACATATGTTTGTGGAGAAAGCCTTCATGTATAGGTTTGTTGACCTTTCTAGGCAATAGCCTACACATGTGGCAAGGCAAAATATTCCATTCCTATGCTGGGAGCACCCATGTGGAATATTTTACTGCTCCTCTCCATCATAGGTAGTTTGTAAGAATGATGGCTGAAGAGTGAACCTGCAGCTTAATGTGTTGCTTGAGCTGCTGTGGGGACTGCCATTCCTGTTCCTGAAGTTTGAACTCCAACTGATGACTGTACACAGAAACTTTTGCACCTGAATGTGACCGGGCCTAAACCTTTGATTCTTTATAGTATAATTATGACATTGTGGTATAAAATACTTCTTATGTTAAGTTTCCCACATTTTAAGGTCATGTTACTCCTCGGTATTTCCTTTTATTCCATCTGGTTTTGGATGTCTCAGCTGTTTATGAAATAACCTTAGATATTTACATATTTTATTATTTGGTAAGACATCGTGCACATTTTTATTACCAACAAAAATACTTCTCTTAAGCTGTATTTTCTCTTAATATAACATTATTTATATTTTTGTTCAAAAATGAAGTAGCAGGGATTTCAAATATAAAAATACAGAGGACACAAAAAAATATATATACACTTCAGTGTACAAAATATGTTCTTAAGTAATATACTGGTATATCTTCAGTTCAGCTTTGAAAATGTCCATAGATAACCTCTGTCACACTTCACATACAGACATTTTCAAAGTAGAGCTGAAGATATATTGACAAATTATTTAAGCAGATGTTTGTACGTTGACATGTGTATACATTTTTTTGGCCCCTCTGTTGTTAATCATATGAAATTACATAAATGTTAAATTATTTCTTCATGAGAACAGTACAGTAAAAATGTTTCAAGATAAAGTTGCATTTAAGCCACAATGGGGACATGGAAGTAACTTTCTCATATTCAGATCTCTTCATTGTTGTGTATGTATAAGAGGTCACTAGTTGGATTCGCAAATACATTTAGAGCAAAATTGAAAGGATTAGACTGTAATTTACCGTTATGGTTTGGCATTTACATCTGGTGTTTGGGAAAACTCTTGTGTACAAGTGTAGTAGTGAAATATTAACATTCATTATCTGGAAATGGGATTCTCAGTACCCTCTCATTGTGAGGCTGCTGACTGAATTAAAGTAGGAGGTGAAGGTATTACTACTGACAAAAATACAGCACCTAGCCGGTAGGACTGCACACGTGCCATTACAGCAGTGCAATGTGCTCTTATTGAAGGTTAAAACAAATACTTCTTCACTTTGCCACATCACTCCATGGAATACTTGGTGCTTAATAAAGGGTCATAACCCTTCTGTGTGGTGTAACTTTTTGAAATTACGTGAGTGTCATGTAGAGGTGATCTCTGGCTGTATCATTTTCCATGCCTTTATAATAGTAAAACTAGCTTTTATGACAATATTAATGAACAAGATTTTCGTGCAGGTATCAGCAGAAATTATTAACAGAGGTAGCAGACAATATATTGTGGCACATAGGCCCGTTGCTAGACAATGACAGTGAAATAAGTAGCTATACAGCGGCTGTTGCTAGGTAATGGCTGCAACATATTCATAACATGCAACAATGGAATAACTGGGAAGCGGTGTTCTCTACACAGTCCATGCAATAGCTGCGTGATGCAACAATAGAAGAACTGTTGGAAGAGGTGTTTCCTGTATGGTCCGTGCCGAAGCTATATAATGAGGAGCAGCTGTAATACAAGAGAGTCTTGAAATGGCAGTGAGAAGAGTAGGAGGTTGGTGTGAGATGGTCATCAGCCTGACAGTCAGTCAGTTAAGAGTTGCAGTAGCTGAGGCCGGAGACAGTTTGGGAACCCAGAGGAAAGGGAACATCTGCTGTTGGAAGCCACTACCAAGCAGCACACTGAAAACCGTGACTGAAACCACTAGTCTATATGTTGTGGTGACTTGTGAAGTGTAGTCATGAGCTGTCTATTAAAGTTTGCAGTAAATCCAATTACCAATCCAAACTTCGGCCATGGTCAATCATGTCACAATATGTATTGCTTAATCCTTCACAAGTTACATGTTTTAACATAAGCGTAAAGTTGATTTTAGGTTCGAGGGTTGATTATAAAATTTTGGAATTGATTTTATTGTATGTCAGCAGGAACATAAAATTACAACTTTTGTTGACTTTTTCTGAGATCACAACAGCTGTAAGGTAACTGTTGCTTTATATCAGTTCTGTGTGAACTACTGTTTTGTGTATGCATTTTCACAGTAGACAGTGTATTATGAAACAGCTGACATTACGGAACATACATGTATCAAGTTTTGTGTGAAGCTGGGAAATATGGCAGTGGAAATTCACAGATATTTAAATAAGCATTTATTAGAAGAAACTTCCAGCCACACTATAATGTTTGAGTGGTTTGCTCTGTAAAAAGGACAGAATATTAGTTAAACACGATCCCGGTTACAGCCAACCATCATTGTGGCATAACCCTTCCCCAAACTGAAATGTAACCAGAATGGAAATGAGCATCAGAAAGTGACATAGATCATCCATACTACTACCTGGGTTAAACAGTTCCCTGAAAGAACACTGTGAGTGATTCAGCGAGTAACAAAACTACTGGAATCATTGTATTCAGCCAAGAGGAGGCAGATTTTAAGGAGATAATTTAACAGATCGAACCTTTAGTTTACAAGAAATCGAGAGGTTCAGGATAAAAATGATGAACCCAACTTTCCTGCTACTTGCTGTTATTATGCACTGGTTGAAAGTAATGAAGAAAGTTTCTGTAATCTTAATAGCAATACTGTAGTTTCCTGAAATTCTGGGTTGTAATAATTGGTAGTAACTGTACTGACCAGTAGTAACCGGTGGTATGCATTGTTACTGCCAAGTTCATGTGTTCACCATGTACAAGGTCTGTATGATATCCTGTGGCAAGTGTTCATATCAGATTTCATGCAGATGGTCCATTGTTTCAAGGAGGGTTACAAACAGCATTGTGAACTTACAGGCCTACTTTCTTGCCATAAGAAAGGAAAATTATCTAAAGAATTGGTCCAGAAATTTTATCATTCACCCTTCTGTGTGCCTGTGTACAAACTTTCATGGCAACTCATATTTTTAGCCTGAATTCCATTGTGAAGAAAAATAGTCAGTCATGTGTTATCACAATGCTGTTTGTATATCCCTGTTTCGATTTTTGAACCATTTAACTAACTTTCATTGAATTTTGAATAAATGTTATGCCACTGGAGGCCATCCATACTTTTTTAATGTTGTGTGATCAATAAGGGCGTAGTGAAAGCACAAATTTATGAAGTTGGAACAACACTTAATTTAGGATCCTGAAGTGATTTTTGGAAGTATATTGTAACAAAAATGTGCACCTTTGTTTAGGTAATATAATGTAAAAGGCCAATATCATGGCTGTGCAAACATTTTGTTTAGCTTAAAGTTTGATACTGTGACTAATAAACAGTTGGCACTAGGTATTTGAAACTTGATCTGGAGATAACATTGTAAATGTATCTACACATTACACATGAAATTTTGTTTGCATGTCAGCAATTACAAACATGGTGATGATGCAGAACTTTGACATCTATCTGACAAACTGTGACAAAATCTATCCTTAAATATTAGTTCTTGACAAAAATAAAATAATAATAAAAATTATTCTATATATGCAGTGTCAGAGGTCTGTGTAGTAGGAAAATACACACTGCTGTTTCAGAACTTGTTTATTAATGAAAAGAACACAAATGATCTGAGCTGTGAAGACTTATATGAAGAGACTTTGTAGTGAAATATCTGTCATAGTGCAGAAAGAATGAAGATGGATTATGGATTCTATTTTTTCATAAGTCATAAAATAATTTTTGGATTGTACTCTCCTGGAATCCACCATGTTTTTACTGCTGGTAATTAAGAAGGATCTCTAGTAATAATTAGGAAGGGTTGGTAAGAAGCAGCTTTGTTTTGCTGAAGACTAGAAATTGAATATGGATAATGTTTCTCTTGCCAGCAGATGCTGCTGGTCTGGAAAGACCTGAGGAAGAAGAAGAGCAAGAAACAGTAGCCATATCAACGTGGTTGAGCAAACCAGATGTCATAAAGGCCTTCAAATGTCATGAGGTCAAAGTAAATGGCTATATGTATGAAAGGTAATGGAGTTTATATTCAGTTCAGTTTTCTGGTTTGTACCAGGAAGAAGCTATGCAATTTAATAATTGTTTTGGACATCTTGACTAATTTAATTTTTTCAGGTATGCGTGTAGTGATGATAACATGAATGCAGCTAATTCATATGTTATTGCAGGAATAACTACTGGATTTATGCTCATGCATAGAGTAGCAGAATGTAAATAATTCTTATAATCTTACCTTAGTTGGTTCCCTAAATTATTCATCCAGCATTTGTCATTAGGTTTTTTAATGTATTGTTTTCTGAGATGAGTCCATGAACACGCAACATGGAGGACCATGGGCTTCCTCTCATGTGGCTATTCCCTTATTCTTGTGTAACAAGTTTGACCCTACCAGGAGCTTATGCCCATGCTATCCTGGATCTCCAGGTGATTAGGGTGTGTAAACATGCCCAGCATGCTAGGGGACTCCCCTGGTGGGAGGCTTTTCAGCGCTTCTCTGCAAAATTTCAGTTACATCCTTGAAGAGCTGCAGTATTTAAACCTCCTTTAATACAGTGCTGAATAACATAATATTATGTAGGATTTGAGGTTCTCACAGTTGTGGTTATGAAGGGTACTGTCTTCTGGGATATAACACCATGTAGTTCATTTAAAATCAACTGACATTTCACCTCCATCTTCAGAGTCGAAGAATAAGCTGAGCAAGAAACCAGCATGAAAGCAGATGGCAGGCAGAGCAACACGTTCCTTTGAAATGTTGGCTGACTTTCAACAGACTACATGGCATTATATCCAAGAAGATAGAACTCTTTTAACCTTCAATGTTATGATAAAGTTGACTGATTATTCAGGGTTTCAAACATCCATATCTATCCATAGGTACCTCCATAAAAAATATGGATTTTCAAAACCCTGAAGAGGTAGTCAACTTTATGACAACAGTGTAAGATAGAAAAGTTCTATCTTCTGAGCTGTAACGCTGTGTAGTCCATTGAAAGTCAACCAGTGTTTTGGAGGAACGTGTTGCTCTGCTTGCCACCTGCTTTCTTTCTGGTTTCTTGCTTGACTTATTCTTTAATCCTGAAGATGGAGGCGATTTGTCCCTCCTAAACATTGGTTGACTTTGAACGGAGTACACAGCGTTATATCTCAGAAGATAATTTTTTTTTTTTGTTTCTGATATCGGAATAAAAAGCCAAAAAAATCACTTGCAAGAAGCATACAAATTATATCCAATGCAGAACATATGCTACCTTCAAATGAATGAATGCAGTGGCCTTGAATATGCCTAGATATGTTACCAGTTGTTCAGTGACATGAAGTATATAATTGAAGGGTATTGAGCAATGGAAGGTTAACAGCCTCAGTGTCCAAAGTAACTGAACAGCACCAGTGCAGTATGTTGTTTGCAGAAATAATGTGATATGAATCTTCCTCTTTTCTAGTCATCTCCTTGTAACAGACAGCCACATATATGTGCTTCGTGACATCCCAGGTAGGAAGGGTTTTGCACACATTGTGGTCAGACGTCTTCTCTCAGCAATTGTCAAAATAACATCAAAGAAAAAACATCCAGAACTCATCACCTTCAAATATGGTGCACCAGAAGGGGATTCCTTAGTCATATCTGACATGGACAGGTTGGTTAGATGTTGATCTAGGTTTTAAGTACTGGTTTCCATTTTGCATCAGGCTCAGTGCCAGAAATGCAGTAGCTTGGATGTGTTCTCATTCTTTTTTGAAGATACCAGGATATTGTTTAAAGGGAAATGAATTTATTCTTCCTTTCTGACTCACAGTTCCTAGCTTAACCATAACCCATATTTCTTCAAACTGTGGGTGAAACCTGCTCTAAAAGGGATTGCTAAGTTCTCAAGAACTGTTTAACACAGGCTGCATCCATGCACAGCTTTGATAAGTCAGCAGGGCAGTAATATTTAATATACATGCCTTTGGAAAATCAAGATGTATCTGGCAAAATATTTCACAAATTTTACATTACTGCAAAGAAACATTTTATACTGTGAGTGTAGAGAGGTTGTAAAGCTTTTTAGGATCCTCATGTCACTTTACGCTCTGACAGAGACTTGTAAAAATTTGCAGATCTGCACCTTCCACTTACTGGCACAGAAAGGGGATCACATGAATTGATGTATTATGTTAGTGGTTCATGATGTCACAAAGTTTGAGATTCCCTGCCTTAATAGTTTACCACACAAACATTTGGTGTATAAAGGGAATTCAGGGTAACTTTCCTAATGGTATCAGGCTATGGTGAACTTAAATGTTGCTTCAAAGGGTTAAGAATCCCTTTGCTTAATTGGTACAGTGACTAGGCTGAGGGTGAAACTGTGTGGAGATGATGCGGATGTGTTTGTTTCCTGGCAGGGACAAGAGATTTTCCTGTTTCTCACCAGCATCCTGATTGGCTCTCGGGCCCATCTGAGCCCCTCTCCAATGGATGCCAGTGGCTCTTTTCCCAGAGGTTGTGAAGCTGATAGTCGCCTCTGTCCAGGGCTGAGGTTAAGAATGTGTGGAGATATACCTCCATTCTCTTATGTGTCTTTATCACATGGAACTTAATGAAATACAGGGACAGCTTTAGCCTGCCTTTTAGATGAGAGTAAGAGCCATGATAGCTCAGTCAACAAAATGGTGGTTGTAAAATGATAAAATGCGTATAATTCATGGCTGTCCTGTTAGGATATGTAGTTTGCCTTCAGCATTGAGGACAACTGTAACAGTAGTCAAGATATGTCCAATTTGAGGTATAACTTCCTTTTTTAATTAAAATTGATCTTGCTGAAATTAATGTAATTGTTTACTCTGCAGAGACGGAGATTTTAAATGGGGCAGAGTGATGGAAAAATTGACCAAAGATTCTCCATCCCACTGGCCATCACATCAGTCTTTTGAAATACAGTTTTTATTTCTTTAAAAGGAAGAAAAAGCTCATACCACTCTCTTGTATTTACATAACTTACTCTAGGTGTTACTGAAAATGGATGTGTTACATTGATGGACTTCTATCGAATTATGCTTGATTGCAGCCCAGAAGATTTTACTCTTTATAGCTACCACTGTGAAAACTTTCATTCCAGCTTTTTATGCATTGTACCTAATCATCCCTAATCACATTGTGTTCATCTTAACTATACTAGCAATGTAAAAGGCAAAGGGAAAAGTTGTTCCTGAGCTTGATTAAGCACCACATCATGAAGGTGTACCTCGAAGAAAGCAGTCTTCTGGGATTTGGCACCGTGTATATGTGGTGTTAACCGACATTTCGGAGGANCCTCAGTTGTATTCTTAACCTCGGCACTATATGGAGGTAAGTAGTCTGCTTCATGCACTAGCTTCCTCAACCCCAAGAACAGTCCCCAGTACAAATCGTATAGTAGACTAGACTGGCCCAAGATCCATCTGAACCACAATGGTGAAAGAAAAGTCTTGTTTCTTACAGAGAATCAAACCCCAGTCATCCAGCACATCACATGGCCTAGCCACTATGCTGACTCAGCTGTCCTAGCTTCTACATGTAAGAAAAACATGTAAGAAATGAAATTATGCAAAAAAAAAATTGAAAGAGAACTGGTTTGCTCTGTATGGAGATAATTTTCAAACTTATTTTAAGTGTGTTCAGCCAGATGATTCAGACATTTATAAAATTATCTCAGTTTCAGCTAAGTGTTTTATTATCTTGATGCCGTTGAAAATGGTAAGTAACTAGTTATATGTACATAATTGAAAAGAGTGTTTCCTTGCAGTTCTGCATGGTGTTTATGTCATTTGCATTGGTTTTCAGGTTCCTCATTCCAAATGCAAGTGAAGCAACAAAACTTGTGTCCCAGCAAATAATGAAACAATTGAAAGTAAAAGATGGTTGACACTGACTGAAGTTTAAACATGAATACAGATGTGTGGTAATTGAAAAATTTACTGAAATGCCTGAAATTCAGCAGGTGAAATGACTTTATCTGGTCGTTCTTGGAGATAATCGCCAAGTGTAAACATTCCCACAGGCTGTAAATAGAATTTTTGAAGAAGATAGCTGATATGTGATAAAACGATAAACAGATCAGTAGAGATAAGGAAGATGGACTGTAAAGATATATGTATATTTATCTGAAGTTTAAAACAGAAAACAGCAACTTAATTTATAAGTAGATTCTAAAGGGTTCTGATGATGGTGTATAACAGAATTACTGGGTTTTCAGACTTTGTCCATCATCCAGCATTCTAAAAACTAGAAAAAACAGCATTTCAGTAACTGGATCTGTTTTTGCTCCCTCACCTGAGTACAGAAACAGATGTAGTTTCCGAAAAGTTGTGTTTTCTCATTTTTAGAACACCGTATGGTCGACAAAGTCAGAAAACCCTGTGCTTCTGAACTTAATTTATATTACAGTTTCTTGAGTTCTTTATTTCTGTTTTACCCTCAGATATTGTGTTACAGAAGGCTGTAGTATTGATCATACGCATGTTCCACGGTACATTTCTCTGAATGCCTGTTGATTTTATGTTAATGTAATATCACAAATACAGTAATTGACTAAAATACTTCTTTTATACTTTAGAATGTACAGAAGGTGAGATGAAAAGCAACACAGGGAACAGTAATAAAAACATTGTTCTGCTTCTGGCGTGTGTTTATTTTTTCCTGCCATTATTCTAATTTCCCTGATTAAAGAAAAATTAAACGTGTGAGATGTGTGTGTGTCCCTGCAATTTTAACCTGTGAACCAGTTGAATGATTTTCCCAAGTCGGAATGAACATTATGCCATTGCAGGCAGCCTCCATATAATCCTCTTACTGAAGATTGCACCCAGGTATTTTACATGATTGACAAAGGGGATATTTCGGACATTCAATGTAAGATGTGTCTCAGGGACCTAAGTCTGTGAGAAAACTAGGTTGTCTGAGCCTTATCTTCATTGATTTGTGTGTTCAGTGCTCACACCACGTCTTAATAGCCCTGAGACATTGCTGCAGCTTTCTGAGAACATAATCCTCTTTGTGGTTTATTGCGTATGTACAGGTGTCATAAGCAAAGAGATCTAGATAGACACCAGGTGCTTGAGGGTTATCATTTATATATACCATATGATGTGGGGGACAGGATGGAACCTTGTAGATCCCTGATTATATATCCCTTGGCATAGACATTTCACCTTTGACCAAAACTCTGAATTTTCTCAGAAAGAAAAGATCAAATAAACTTGATTAGACTGATTGAAAATTTTAATTGAGATAATTTATATAGCAAGCCTAGGTGCCATGTTGTATCAAAGGCTTTTTCAACATCCAAGAATACAGCAGCTGTAGTCATGTTGTTGAAATTTAAGGTGATGTTCATAAGCCTCATATATTGAAGTGTCATGCTGGGGCAAGCACGGAAACCAAACTGACTTGCATTAAGCAGGCCTTTTTCTTCAATGTGCCTTTGGAGTGTTTTCAGAATAAATTTCTCGAATAGCTTGCCTATTGTAGACAAGAGGCTAATCGGACTTAAATTTTGATGGAAGGGTCTCTGCCAGGTTTCAGTAACATAACTTTTGCTTCCTTCCAAGGCTTTGGAAAATAGAGCAACCAAAGGCAGTTACTCATGGTTTTGTCACACCGGTCATGAGATGTGAATTGCTTTTCTAAACAACCTGCAATCACTCTCATTCGGTGATATATTATAGTTAAAGGTCCATGAACAGCAGTTGGTGCCTTTGGTCCATCCCTTTCCATAAGCAATTTTGCAATAAGCCACAGAGCTTGAGGTGTGACATCACAGTTCCCTACTTTTGTTTCCCACCATTTTCTTTTCTTTCTGTGGGTCATTCATCTGATGGTTATGGTGCCCCAGTTACCAGTAACTGCCGTTTTACATGCTGGATCCCAGCCAAAGTTGCCACTTTCCACAGTTTCCTTAACCTCTGCTTATGTATTAGCAGACTCTCTAGACCATGTAAATCCTTATTAAGGTCCAAGATTGTAATTTTGCTTGTTGATAGCCTGTACACCAAAGTTATAGAAGCAGTGAAGTTGCAGGCTGCATTGTTGGTTTATTCCTTAGAGTTAATTTGGATTCTAGATGAAATTAATTCAGAGGCCAGGCTTTAAAATTGCTCCCAACCTGTGAATTTGTCAGCTGAGTCTGAAAGATTTCTAGATCTAGTATGATCCAGCAAGTGACTGGTAGGTGATGTGAGTCCAGTATGTCAGAAACAATGATTTCTGACAGCTGGACATTCTTGTTCACAGCAGTATTGATCACATCACCATTTCCCACAGGAGAGTAATGTGTGGGATACTGTGGTGCTGAAATTTCATACTAATTTAGTATATGCAGTAAATTCAGTGGTTTTGCACCTGAAGGGTTGGAAGTATGCTATTTCAAAATTGATATTTAGCATTCAGATCAGCCAGTAGGAACTTACGTCTAAAGCTTAAGAGCTCAGTGATATCTGTATCATTCCAGGAGTGATGTGCTGATTTACAGATTGCTGCAGGTAGCACCTCACTATTACCAATCAGTATGCAAACTCCTGTGGTTTCTACTGAAACAAATGAAGGCAGTCTACATGGTTGTGGGAAATGCCTTTTCTTTTGATTTGGTTCATCCAGATCCATCACACTAGCAGTAGTATAAAAGATTATCAGTTCCATCCAGTGTGATTGATAAATGTTTTTTCTCCTTTTTATTCTTTCATCCTTGACATGTTTCGGTCAGAGTGACCATCTTCAAAAGGACATAACAGTACATGCGGAAACTATTACAATGTGATTGGTCATTGTCGATACATACAGACAGTACTATTACAATGTCATCATTATAAAATCTTAGCCTTTAACAGTTACAGTGATGTGCCTGAATTTATGAAGATATTTATAAGTATAACACACTGTGGCCCGAACAACTGGATGACACCAAAAAGTCCTATTCATCAAAGAACGGAACCACAATGTGGTAGACACTCATCTTCCTTTAAAGAGAAGCAATATAAAGGACATGAACCAAATTGGTTCTACATTTTAACATATTTTTTTAAATCATACTTGTAAATAAACTTATTATAATAATTTATAAATATTTTAATAAATTCAGGCACATCGCTATAATTGTTAAAGGCTAAGGTTTTTATATTCATGACATTATAAGAGTATTGTCTGTATGTATTGATAATGACAAATCACATTGTAATAGTATGTAGTTTCCACATGTATTGGTATGTCCTTCTGAGGATGGTCTCTCAGACCAAAACATGTCAAGGATGAAAGATTAAAAAGGAGAAAAAACATTTATCAATCACACTGGATAGAGTTGATAATCCTTTATGCCTTTTCTTACTGCAGTGGTAGTTCCACCTTTCCTTCCTGGAAGCGGTCAGTCTGATAAAAGTGATAATTTGTAATAAAGAACCTCTCAAGGTGCCTGAGAAGTGTGCCTAAGAGCAAAGCTACATCTTTGTATAAATCTTGCAGCTGTTTACTGAGCTCATAGCACTGCCTCCAAATGTCATTTGCATTAAATGCTGTGACTTTGAGCAGCCTATGAACTCTAGCAACCATTTTGAATCATTAAGTTAAATACCATTTTCATAATGACCATTTTATCTTTTTCTGACACAGCTTCACCGAGCGCTCTCATGATAGGTGTATTTTGTGCTACAGTCGCTACCTTTAATGGGCCATTGTTAGTCGAACTTGGAAGCTGTACTGACAGACCTGTTCTCTGAATTTCCTGTTGTGGCAGATACTGCTGAATGGGGTGCAAACAAATCATTAGGTTTGGTCCCCAGAATATAGCCTCAACATTGACCGCTTATCAAACACTGCCTCCTGTGTATCTGTTATCATAGAAGTATGTTTACTGAGCTGTTCCTTAGCAGTGGCAGTCTCTTCTGGTTCTCAGTTTTGGCTTTGGGTGGACATGTCACAGTACCTACAAATTCTGTATGAAATATTATTTATAAGTCAACAATTGCAAGCATGACAACAGTGCAGAGTTTGAGGTCATGTCTTATGAAGTTAACTTGGATAAAATATGTACTTACATGATGGCCTCTTCCAAATAATAATAATAATAATAATTCAGTCAGTTCTTTGTTTATTTACCTGCTGAGCTCAGCAACTAGCAGCCAATTACAGAATCAGCATGAATACAAACAACAGCAATAAGAAAACACAAGGACAAAACAAGCAGAAAGAAAAGAAAAATTTATCACTTTCAGTTGTTTACATTTAAATGTGAGTTTTAAAAATTATCTGCAGATTTACA